GGCGGACCAGCGCGAAACCATTTGCATGTGTTTCCAGATTGGGGAGGGTTGTCGTGATCTTAACTGCAAGTATGCTCACGTGTGTGCGGTCCCTGCGCCGGAAGGCCATGCTTGTGCAAGGAAACACCCAGCCTGGCGCCGCAAAAGTGCCCTACACTAGAAGGGGAGTCATGGAGACAGGCTCTTTGCCAGGTGTCCTAGCTCTTCTCTTCCTCAGGCAATGCTTCTCGCGACCCTTTGCGCAGCTTGCGCTCTTCAGGTTTCTCCTCCGCTCAGCACGCTTTGGATGCTGTCATGTTGGACTTTGATGCCTGCCTCTCTTTGCTTCAGGAGTTGTTCTGTTTTCAGGGTCCTGCTTACGTGCCTGCCCTTCCCTCAAGCCCTCATCTTGTGCCCCGAAATGTCTCACAAGGTGGCTCGCTGAGGATGCCTCCTTGTCATTAGCCTTGGTTCCTCCAGCTGCTATAGACTATAGAGGGCTTGCCTCAGGCCTTGGCCCAAGTCATCGATACCAACCGTCGCCCTTTCGCTTTTCCAGCCCATGCGCTGCGAGCGACAATGCCATGGTCGGGGAACAGCTGGCTGGTCACAGCTTACATGTCGCAGCATTTACCTGCTTTGTCTTCTGCCAATGCTGCGCTGCTTCGAGGGTGGGGGTTTCCGCTTCCTAGCATGCCTCTGTCTTCGTCTCAGCAAACAATTTCTGCTCGGGTATCTTCCGGCGCGCGTCTTCCTTGACGTCTACTGTGGAGCTACAGGCATGCAGGATAAGCTGTCCACAGTGCGAACAGCCTTGCAGTCCTGGCTTGGGTGCCCGCTGGCCAGCCATACTCCTTGCGCGCCTTGTCTGCGCTCAGCAGATGTCAAAGACGACGTAGCTCTCTTTCCTGCTTTGCTTTCAGGAGTGCCTAGGGACCCAGTGGGTGCCTTCTTCCAGCCCCGGCCACTGAGCATCTGCCAAGCTAACTGGCAGGGTGCAGAGGCTGATCCAGCTTTACTCCAAGAGCTCATTCAGGCCGAAAGGATGCCGGCTCTGTGCGAGAGTTTCCCTCTGTTCAAGCGGCGCAAGCACACTTCGGCTCAGACAGAGTTGCCGTGGGTCGCGTGAACATTGTGCACGCACCGAAAAAGTTGGTGGTGGACTCTTCGGTCTGTCATAGAATAGAAATCAAGCCTGCAAGGTGCCTGAAAAAGCTTGTCTCTCTTCCCTGGAGACACTCGAGCAGCTTTTCCACTGGGGCAAGATTCCGAAGAAGTGGCCGGCTTTAGTGCTGACATCCGGTCAGCTCACAAGACTGTGCGAGTGAGAGAGCAAGACCATGGACTTCTCTTTTATCAGGTGTGCCGCTTCGCTGCGGTTTTCTCCAGTCATTCGTTTTCCAGGGTCGGGGGCTTCATCACCAGATGCCTTCGCCTGCTTATCTGGCTTTCGCGTCTTGACGCTGTATAGTGATGACCTCCTTCTTTGGCAGAATAAGAAAGTTGCTTCACTGGTGCTGTGCTTCTTTGCCTGCTTTTCCATTCCTGTCAGTTGGCCCAAACTTCAGATGGGTCCAAAAATCACTTGGATAGGTTGGGAGCTTAGTTTTGCAGCCGGGGGTTTCTGCTTAAGGATAAACGTGAAACGGCTATTAAGCTTCTCTCTTCGTGCTTTGCAGGCAGGCATGTTTCTAAGAAGCCCCTTGACAATGTTCTCGGCCTCATGCAGTGGATCCTCCAGTGCGCGCCAGAGCTGCGCCCTTGGCTTGCCTGCCTATACGATGATATGCATCGTTTTAATCCTTCGGATTGGCCTTCCTTGCCTGGTCATCTGTCTGATTCTCTGCGTTTTCTCAGCACCCCTCACGGCGCGGATATACCTATTGGGTCTACTTCGCTTTTAGCTAGGCGTAAGAGTTTGCAATCAAAGCCAGATCTGCAGCTTGTTCCAGTCTCCTCTCGTCGCATCTGGATGCACGTTGCAGACCCACAATCTTCCCGTCACATGTTGTGTGAGCTCAGCAGAGAGATGCTTCGCTTCTTGCTTTGGTGGTGTCGCAGCCCCTGGCCGCTTCGCCCACTTGCTCTCCCTCCAGTGTGCGGCAGATGCGTCTTCGGGGAAGGTCCCAACTGTGGCGTGGGCAGCTGGCTCCAGGTTGGTGCCCACAGGTACTCCGGTTCTCCGAGCGCTTTTCTCCTGCCAACTTTCGAGCGCTTGGTATCCCAATGCCAACCCGGATATCTCCTCCTACGAGACTTTGGCCCAGGGCTTCCTTCTGGTGCCCTTGCTCCAGAGCGTCAGCGGAGGAAGGCTTCGTGTCAGGCTGCCCTCTTTGAATGATAATCTGGGTGCTGAGAGTGTGATTAATCATTAATCGCCTCTACGCCAGCAAACAGCCTTTGGCTTTGTTCGTTCAGCGCTTAGCCATGTGGACCTGCGCGCGCGCAGTCTCGCTTTCTTGCTCCCCCTATCGCTGGGGAAAGCAACGTTCAAGCAGATGCTCTTAGCAGATGGGATGAGTCATTCCCCATTCCGCACGGCTTTCAACTTCAACACCGCATTCGCATTTCTTTTCTCAGTTCTGGCGCTTGCAGCTGCACCCTCAACTTCTCCCAGCTGAGGCCTTCTTGCGATGGAAGTTTCCTACTCAGATAGGTCCATGGCAGTGAGCTCAAAATAGCTCTACTTTTCCGTTTCGCGTGGAAGAATACCTCTCCCTGCCTGTGCGCAGCTTCGCTTCTCCTCACGGGCACGTTGCGTCCGCTGGTTGCAATGTGTCAGTGAGGGGTCTGAGCGCAGCTTCTGAGAGCTAGCCAGCTCAGCTCGTAGGCCACTTTTTCACTGGGATTTCTTGCTTGCGGCCTCCTTTCTGTCTTCGCAATTTTCCAAACTGGGCGTACTGTGATCCTATGCATATTCGCTTTGCTTTCTGTTGCTTTGGCTTCACTCATCCACTTGGGAATGAGGAAGCATACTGGTCCCAGTTCCTCGCCACGACAAAAAGGTCGGTCCGCTGCTTGCTGCTTAGGAGTGTGGAAGTCCAACACTAGGTAATGAGCTTGATGTTGATTGCTCAAGTTTTGTGGCTGGTTGGCCACTGGCAAATTTTTCATCCACCCACCCACCCTACAGTGTGGAGCTTCACCTTGCCCATTGTGTTCTTGTGAAGGTCGCTGGGTTGGGGGATTCGGAGGGTTCGTGGTGGCTGCGCTTGCCATTTTGGGGGTTGACTGAGCCCGCAAGAGCCCCAATCCGAATGCGTCGTGATTTGCCCCGGTTCTCGAAAAAGAGAGAGTGTGCTGCATCTCATGTTGCGTTGATTCCATGTGTGAGCGTATGCAATTTTGATGACTGATAATTTACATTTGGATTCCGAGCAAGTATTTCCTGATGATTGGGTAAAAGTTCCATACCAAGAGTTCGAATCTGAATTCGATATGAACGCAAAATGGTCTGGCGAACGATTGTCTTTCAATGGCTTTTCGGCAGGGTGCTAGACATTGCTGCCAGGAGTGTGTAATATAGCACGGGTGCATGAGCAATGGTCACAGGAACGGTGTTGCATGTGTGACTTGTATAGGCTCAGAGGGGAGACCCAAACAACGAAAAAAACATGTCTTCAGAAAGCGTGTAGCAAAGAGGTACTATTCACAGAAAGCTTCAATTCTCATTCCAGAGAGCGGCGAACACATGGGTCAGATATGTGGTTTGGGGCTTGGTTCTTCTCAATGGGGGCAGGATAAGGATTGCCCTGGGCGCAGGGTTGAATCTTCTTATGATCAATTTGATGAAATCGTTTTTGATTCGTTACAGGTAGGACAGATTGCGCGAAGAAGGTTCGTTTTGTTTTCATGTGATTTTCAATAAAGTTGCCAAACTCAGCAGTACTCGGACTACCTGAAGTTGAATTTGAACAGTACATTAATACGACTTACTCAGGCTGTGCAAGCGCTCCGAATTGTCAAGCCTGAAACATTTTAGTTTGGGGATGTTTTAGGGCGAACATGGTTTCAGGATATGAATGTGCGCAAGTTTCGTGCCAAAAGCTCTATTTCAGGCCCGTGAATGTGAGCGCGCCCCAGGCGTAGGCGCCGTTGCAAGCCTCAGATGGAGCACTTTCCACGCGCAACACCATCTCAGACCTCAACGTAGCTGTGATGCTCCACGCTAAGGCTTGATGATGTACGTAATGACTTCCAACAACAAAGGACGTGCTTCAAACCCAATGCCCATGGTTGTACAGACTTACATAACATCGGCGTTTACCATCCAGGTAAAAAGTCACTCCGCCCCATGTTACCGTCATTGCTTGTGAGATTTGGGACTTGTGTTGCCAGCCACGTGCATTTCGGCGTGATGGCCGGTTGCTAAGAGGACTCATTACCATAATTGCAAGTACCGGGGCCGGGCTCATCCCCATACTGTGAGCATTGGTGCCGGATGCATGCAACAGTTGCATGTTTTTTTGGTCTGAAGAGAATGCTTCTGGATGACGCAAGTTTTGGAATCCAAAGCAGGGTCGCAAAAAGGTGACGATTTTGCGTTTATGTGCAGCAGTGTTGCTGCCTCAGCATGGAAATTTCCGTGTTGAGATTATGATTAACTTAACGCCAAAACCCTGCGGCCGATTTTTTGTTTGTTGTGAGGTAATGGGGCGGCTAGGTGAGCAGTCAGACGAAGACATTTCAGCAAACATATTTTTGTTGTTGCGAATTGTGAGACTCATGAAGAAGCCGGCACCGGAATCCTGCGTGTTGGGGTTACTTGCGACGTTTGCCTACATCAAGCAATTGCACTCCCATGACTGCAAATAGGCGAGGACAACACAAGCCTTCACAATTTTGGCATTTGATATGAATCTGGGGTTTCCCACCGTTACATCTCGCAACATGCAGGATGACAGTGGGGTGCAGACGTGAGGATGATCCAACTTTGATTAAACTTTTCATGCGCCACCCTCGGTTAGTTCTTCCCGGAAAGTTGATGCCACGGAGTTTCGATCATTTGCCCGGAACGTCTGATGTTTGCGTCCGAGCTTGCCTATAGCGCAACGCAGGCACGCGGCCAGAGTTTATCAAATCTTTTTGTTGACACAGTGCGTGCTAGGGCGAGTTGTGGGTGGGGAGCCACATTCTTCACCTCGATGCATCCCATGGTGCGGGCCTGCATGCAGTTGTGAGTGTATTCAACAGCCATTGAATGTCAGACCAAGGAGAACAATCCGTGATAGCGTGCCTTGCCTCCACTTAAGACGCGTTGCCTTCCTTGTTCCTTGCGGCTTGTGGCTGCCCAACTGTACTCCCAGGTGTGGTGCAGCAGCTCTTTTTGCCAAGCTCTCTGCCGTGTCTCCAGAGATTAACGTACAACATGTCTTCTTGTGGCAAACCTCCACACGCAGCGAGATGGAGTACAACTTGGAGCACGACCTTTGGCTACATTATCGGCCCAGGTCAATTTTCCGGCTTTTCCTCCTTATCCCTAGCCAGTTCTTGTGTTCATCCGAGACACAATCCTTTTGCCAGTAAGGTGAAGGCCAAGATGGCAATGTTGGCAGGGACTGCAGCTGATGAGCACCATGAGCAGTTTGCCGGCATTGAAGTGCTGGCGAAACAGATTGCAACAGCCAGAGGTCAGGAAAGACATTCAATATTCACACAATTCTCTATTCAAAAGGACCGTGGATTGTCACTAGCACCTACCCTCCTTCATGGCCGGCTGTACAGGTTTAGTGGTATCTGCTCCCATGTGGAACTTCGCGGTGCCGTATGCCCATTGGTGGCAAAAGCTCGATGAGGGCCCTGAATTCAACGAACCTAGATGCAAACAGTAAGGTTGTGAAGCAGTACTTTGACTGCGTGTTGCATCCAGGCCGCACCACAAACAGATCACAGGCTTTCGGGGAATCATCAAGCAAAGCTGTGCAGGATTGACATTCAGGGAAAGTACTTCTGGACCCGTTGGCCTGCTTGGTGGTGGGCGGCCTTTGGTGGTGCTGACGTCATCGGGTGGCGCTGCAACGAAAGATTATTTAACGCCCTGGTTGTTGGAAGCTTTGCAGAAACATTGTGCAAGCAGGGGGAGAGCTACCATTTTATGGCCTTGATGCAACCTGCAGACGGGTGTCCTCAGGATGTTGGGGCCATGGCTGGATTCGACAGACCCAAAGTGGTCTCAGCTGCCAGTCTCGTGAGCGGCTCACTCAGCTTCAGTGTTGTTCGGATATCCCCGTCCTTGTACATGTTCAGGTTTTTACGTGCGAATGCAAACCCTGACATGCGAATCTTCGCTTGCCTTTGCCTTTGCTTTTGGCCTAGGTAGAGACCGGGAGACGGTCAAGGAGGCTTTCCGGCAACAGGCAGAAGCAGCTGCCGCGCACCTTTCCCTCTGTCAGTTTGACAGGCAGGGCACGGATTGGCATGGATTCGCATGGTGGAGTCGGGCAGCTGTTGGTGTACCATAGTAGCTTCCATTTTTTTACCCAATCCCGTATACAACCCCTATAGAACCCCATATACCCGGTGGACAGGTCTGCTTACAAACCAGAGAGCCATGAGCTCTCAGCGTCCTGTGGCCACGAGGACAGACCGTTGGAGCTTGCCTTAGCTTAGAAATAATATATACCCTATAATCCCCATATAAACCCAACATAATCACGGTAATCCCTGTAGTTTCCATTTTCTTGTCCATTATCCCTATACGTCCCCCAGATGTACTCTATTAGAATCCCTATATTCCCTATAGTTTCCATTGTCTTTTCCATTATCCCTACATAACCCCTATATAAACCCTACATAACCCCAATATAACCCCTATAATCCCTGTAGTTTCCATTTTCTTTTCCATTATTACTATACTACCCCTATAGAACCCTATAATCCTGATATAACCCTATGGAATCCCTATAATCCCTGTAGTTTCCATTTTCTTTTCCATTATCCCAATATAGCCCCAATATACCCTAATATAACCCCTATATAAACCCTATAACCCATGACTTCAGTTGAGGAGCTTCGGAGCTGGTTGGAGAGCTCAGGTGGTTTGAGCTTAGACTGCCTGGACTGCCTGGAAGCTGCACATGTCAACGGCGAGCTGTTGCCTGGTTTAGGGTGGGAGAATATGGGGATGATAGAAAAGAAAATGGAAACTACAGGGATTATAGGGGTTATATTGGGGTTATATAGGGTTTATATAAGGGTTATGTAGGGATAATGGAAAAGAAAATGGAAACTACTATAGTATAATAGGGTTGATATTGGGGTTATATGGATGGTGGCCGCGGGTTTTCAGATGTGGGCGGTAAGTGTCAGTATGAGTGGGATGGCAAATGCCTTGTTGGGTTCAGGTTTCTTGCTGCCGGTGACGCTGACTGGCGTGATGAGGAGCTGGGTCTTGAAGAGGCCGCTCCCCTGCAATTCCCTGCTTTTCTTCTGACCCGAGCTGACCTTGGGCAAGGCTGACATCGCTCGACTACAAGAGCTGCAAAAGCTCTTCCTGGAACTGGTGCGTCAACATGATGAGTGATTCATTCATCCATTGGCATGCGCCGGTTGCACTTGAAAAGGTGGAGGTGTGATGCATGTCGTGTGATCATGCTGCGCACGCATTGATGGATCTGTCCAGTCTCATCTTGTTCTTGCTGATAGCCTTGGCTGCACACTTAGCCTTGCATGCCCAAGCTGATGTTAGTAACAATGTGATTCGAAATTGACATTAACCTCATGCTTCTGTCATGGCTGCAGCTCCTACAGATGGATACTCGCAACGGCAACCAGGACATGTGCACGAGACACCAATCATTGCAGTTGCGGGGGTAGGCATGCTGGTTGAGCCATGGGGGGCTTGCTGCCAAAGCCCATTACAACGAAAGAAACGGAGGCCTGAAGAAGCAGCAAAAATCGAGTGGGAAGTTGCCTCATGTTGCAGCGTCTGATGGTTTCAGAATGCACATGGTCGAGGATGGAAAGAGCGTGAGCGGCCGGTATGCCTTCGGCGTCAGCTCCATGCAAGGATGGCGTCAAGCCATGGAGGCCATTCTTTTGTATGCTGGCAAGTTTGGCCTTTGCGTTGTGTGTGCCTCTTGCAGCTTCCAAGCCAGCGTCATGTAATTAAAGCGTGGTAAACATCATAACTTGTTGAGCCGCCATAACTTGATTCCCTCAATGGCAGGATGCCCACATGGCCCTCCCAGACTTTGACACAGAGCGCGAACTCGCACTGTTTGGCGTTTTCGACGGCCACGGGGGAGCAGCGGTGCAGCAAGCACATGTTGATGCATGTTGTCACTGTTTTTCTATCATGTGACAGCATGCTGCAGCCAGGTGGCCAAAGTTGCAGCCGAACGCTTCCCAGAAACACTGCGAGCGCTCCCAGCCTTTAAGCAGGCTCTTCTGCGGGGTGTGTGCTGTCGTGCTGTCGTGTGACGTTCCACAAAACCGGGAGTCAGGGGCGCTATTCTGAAGCTTTGTACGAGGTGGGCTGCAAGTGTTGCAAGCAGAGATCAGGGTCAGTAGACTCACATCGTCTCACATCACTGTCAGTCTTTCTTGATTTTGGACGCGTTCCTGGATAGCCCTGCTGGAAGAGAACAGGCCACCGAGCCTGTGGGTTGATGAAAGTTTGCACTGGACAATAGCAGTCAGTTCCCCACCAAGGCGTTGTGCAAGCTCTGCCAAAGCGCCTCGAAGTGATGCAGACACCAAGATTTTCAGGTGAAGCAGGCTACTGAACCTGCTGTTGATGCGGACATGGACGAGGCTTGACAAGAGGGCGTTGTTCCTGTTGAAAAGCATGGTTCTTGCAGGATATTCTTAATTATGCAAGGGGAACAAGAGTTGAGCGAGCAGCAAAGTATTCCGAAGAGCAAAGTAGTCTAGGGGAGGACTTGCCATGTTGGCTGTCAGACATCAAATCACACGGGATCGAGCGACGATACCAGCACTGCAGATTGGGGTCAACATGGATAAGGATTTACGCGGCGACGAGAAGGCGAACTCCCAAAAACAATAGCACGTAAGACATGTTCCCACTAGGAGCTTTTTAAGCTCAACACTCAGACAACAATCTGTAGCTTTTTTGGATATATGTGAATTTGGCATGAGGTAGCGTTTGGCGACGCATTGTGTGGGGATGACCCATAAGAGTCCTTAGTTGTCTCATGGGAACGTCGACGATTAAGCAACCACTTGTTGTCCAACTCTACGCTCGCAATTGCATTCTCAGTTTTGCTTCAGGTACCGGGAACACTTAAAACGATAACGAATGACTGTTGCCCCAAATTCTAGCATGCAAGGCCTCAGGCATTTCAGTGTCTTGGTGATCATAATATTGTTTCAATCTGTTGTCAGCAAACGAGATCTGGCTCTATCAGCCAGCTCAGCTAGATGAGCCCCAAAATGAAGTGAGGCGCGAGAACAGCATTCACTTTTAGTCGTTGGACGGCCGATATGGCCGGCGATAAGGCAAACTCCCAAAAACGGTAACAATGCACGTGAGTCCGCTCAAATCCTTTTACGTTTTGCCGCTCGCTCAGTTCCAAATTGCAGGATGCAATATTCCGGAATGAGAGTTCTTGGGCAGGATGAGCTTGTGCGCCTGGTTGAGTCCGGTGAGATCGATCTCGATGACCTGGACATTGAGGCCGAATAGCTGTACATCGCATATGTGTATCCGGCATCACAGTGTCCACAGAGGAGATTCCTATGTCGATATTTGTGACGCCGTGGGATAGATGTACTGGTTGCGTCCCCTTCTGACAGGACGAAGAGGCGGAAGAGGACCCGGAATCTGTGTTTTGTGTTCCCCTAGAGCGCGTGTTGAGCACCCTCAGTTTGTGAGGGTCTGTAATGGGTGCCCATTGGAACGCTTGAGTAGGGGGTCTGAAATGGGTGCGACCCATTTGAAACGTTAAGCGGTGCCCATTTCGGACCCTAAAGTTGATGATGCGTGGCCAGGCGAATCCATCACTGTAACCCTTGGTTCAGCTGGCATTTTTTTAGCATAGCTTCAATTGCTCCACTTGCTCTTTTGGAGCGACTTGTTGCAAGGTGTCCATGGTTGGAAATGCTTGGGCCCTTAGTGATGGCTTGTATATTTTCCTACATCCCTGCCGGTAGTCTTGCAAGATAGAATTCAGGAGTGCAGCTGCAAGGCTACTAGCTACAATCCGAAGAAGAAGCAACCGCAGCTCGTACAATGCCTGTGTACTTCCTGCTTGCGACACGCTTCCCCCGAGCTCTCTGCTGTTTTAGCTTGGGGTTTAAGCTTGTGCTCTTGTTGAGATGTTGAAAATGTTCACGGGGTGCCTATGGGGGGGTCTGAAATGGGTTCCATTTACTCTAACCGAAGTCCTATGAAATACCCCCATTGGCGGTCTGAAATGGGCATTCCCGTAAGACCAAACTCACATTAAGCAAGGGCAGTTTGATGTCAGGAAGTCCCGGAGGAAGATGAAATCGAGGGAAGCTCGGGGTCCAATTCGGATTGGACCAATGGCGAGGGACCGGATGGTGCGATGCTTACAGCAATGCTTAGATCAATGCATGCTAAGCATCAGCGCAGGGGTCCGTGCGATTAGTGTCCCTCGTGCGAATTTCTTCTTGTGCCAGGGATGGGATGTACGGCAGTGGTGGCCTTGGTTTGTGGCGGCAGCAAGCCAGAGGTGCTCCTTCCCCAACGCAGCAGCACAGCTCTGGTTTGATGGCTTGGCAAGTGCGATGCGAGATTGTGTGCTGAATGGGAGCTGCAGAGTGTCCACTTCTTCGTGCTTGGCTCTCATGGAAAGCAATTTCGAACACACGGTTTGTGCTGAGAGCCTTACTCAGCCTCTCTCAATCATGTGTTTGGAGTCACACATTGGACTTCAGCCGCCAAACCTACCTTGAGCAGCTCTTGGAGTACTTTCAACTTCACATCTTCTCTCATGGGGTTGTGGTAAGAGCCAATTTCAATCAGACCCATGATTCCAAGCTGATGGCACCGAAGAAGAAGGCCCTGCGCTCAACACTGACATGGGTTGCACCTCTGAGTTGATGGCTCTGAGCAGCAAGTGCAGTGCCATCAAGTGTATAGTGCTAGAGGGTACTTGCATCGCAGTCCTGGCTCTTTTGCTGACCTATTGGTTTCCGACACAGGAGGCTGCAGCGGCGGATGTGCTACATGATGGTCCCGAGGAGGAGGAGGAAGCAGGTCCTGGGAAGGCCTGTAGGGAATATTGGGATTTTTTGGGGTTATAGTTATATAGAGATAATGGAAAAGAAAATGGAAACTACTACATTTTAATAGGGCATATGTTGGGTTTTTGTATGTCGGGTTGTCGTAGGGAGCGCGGGAATCTTTGTATAAGGGTTTTGTCACTGGAGGATGCCAGATATTCACCACGCAGCACAGGCTGTCATCAGCATAGCGGCTGAGGGAGTAAAAAACCTCCCTCGAGAGCCAAGGCCTTACTACTGAGAGAAGAGACAGCCTGAGTGGCATTGGGGTTCATTTGCGTGAACAGGACGGCGCACCAGATGAGCAGTATGTTGATGAGGGTGTGTATAGCCAAAAAAGGAGTCAGATTAAATTCTTTCAGTTGTAGTATTCTACAGGAAGAATTATTCGTTCACGAAAACAAAATTGTTCAGATGAGGCTGCAGACACTCCTGGGCTTCAGCGGGTTCTGCAAAGAATTCAGGTCACCGCCTCGGCAGAAAAAGCTCACGGTTTTTTTTCTGGAAGAGTGCTTTTTCGGTTGAGGACCGGGCCTTCATCCGAGGCCGTGGGCTGGGCCTGCTTCTGAGACGCAGGGCATCGCAGAGCATTTGGGAGCCTTAATTGCTTTCTCGCCTCCGAGGAGTTTTCCAAGGATGCCATCATCAGACTGCAGAATCAGGAGCTCTCTAGCTTCTCAAGCTTGGAACTTGGAACTGTAAATTCTGCAGCTGGTAGGACCTGTTCAACGACATTGTCCAGAGACCCATGGTTCTCTCCATCCGCGACGCGGCGGCGGAGAACGCAGTGATAGGCAAACCAAAGAAGAGTTGCAGCTTAGTCTGTTAGGGGCGCATGGCCTTGAAGGCTCCGCCTCGTTGAGCCTTGTCCCCTTGTTGCATGACTCCATGGAGGCAGTGAGCTGTGTTTCGCTGGTAGCGGAGAATTTGCTTGGATGGTGGTGAGTAGCTGACAAGTGCATGCTCAAGACTCAGTTTCGTGAGACAGCTGCCTGCAGGTGACTGCCGATTTGCAGCTGGAGCTGACACCTGACTACTACGCCAAGTGGTGGAAGGACGTGCGAGGCCAAGGATTTTGGTCAATGGTTTTGCGAACTTGGCATCATTGCGGTGCCGCCCCTGAAGCTGCAGCCGATGTTGCTTGCCGTTGCTCATGCTTGTTTGGTCATGCTACCAAGGATGAGCCGGAAGACCCCAAGGCCAAGAAGGCATGGCTGTGTTGTTGGCTTCTTTCAATATGATTTGGTGATCTCGCGTAGCCAGGACAAGAAAGCGCCTGCACCTACTGAAACGCCAAAGGAGAGCGCTTGCAGTCCTGCACTTCCCACTTGCCGCAAGATGCTTCCCCAAAGTTTGTCAGGAGCGTGAACCACTTTTTGAGGGCGAGAGCCCGCCTCCGACTGTCTTGTCGGTGCGCTTGGCACTTCTTTGGCTCTCCATGCGCCTCCAAAAGCTAGGGGGTTCATACGGGCAGGTAACGGTCAGAGCAGACACACTGCTGGGTCCGGAAGAGGCGCGGTGCTTCAGACAGATTTCGTTTCGAGACCCACTTGCCGACATGCCAGCGTCCAGGACCGAGATTGCTGGACCATGCTAACCATCAATGCAGCAGGCACGGGGAGATTTGTATATGCGATAGCCAGCTGCAGAGTTCCGCTGGCTTTGTTTGCAAGGCGTCTATGCTTTACCTGAAAGTCTGACAGTGCTCGGCGTGCCCAGTTCATGCCTTGGTTCTTCGGCACGCTTGAAGCTTGCTTTTCTGGTAGTGTGTCACAGGCCCAGACGACTTCCAGGTTTGGCACCCATAAAGACTATAGAGATGTACATTTGCAGCTCTGCTACGCTGTTCACAAAGCAGCTTGCTGCAGGCCCACCCGATCACATACCAGGGCACACTTCTCGGTGAGCCAGAGCCTGGGAGATGTGGGGGGCGTGTTGGGCCGGTTCCTCTTGTGCTGATCAGGTCCCTGGGAGAAGGTGCTCTAACCAAAGCCGCTGAGGTGACTTTTGCAGTGCTTTTGCTTGAGTCTTGTTTAGCGTACTTGTGGCATGCAAGCTACAAGCTCGGCGCCCCCCCTCAGCTATATAGCTTTAGGTCAATGTAGGAGGGAACAGACGAAAGAGCAACACAAACAACGGCGGCCGTTGCCTGCCAACTACTGGATGTTCCCAGAGATGCTGGGGCAGCATGAGGACTTGCAAGCACCAATTCCCAGAATATCTTGTGTTTGACAGAGCCACATACTATTGGACGCCTACGCACGTGGGCAATGGGTTGCGGCGGCAGCGTGCAAAGCCAGCCTCTCCAGAAGGCGGCGGGTGCACGGAGTTCAGCTGCAGATATCTGTTTTGGTCTATGTCAGGCCCATGACCTTGACTATGTCAGAAACACAGAGCCTGACGCCAAGACCTGCTCATCCAGTTTTCGTCCACTTGTTTCTCGATATTTTCAGGTCTACGGTCGGGTCGAAAGATGAGGCACCGTCAGGTTCAGGGCCCATCCGCGAGCCTGAAGTCTGGCTGTGAAGAGGTGGTAAACGGCATTTTCTTTTGCTTGAGGTGAGTCCATGCAGTGGAAGGAGGCAGTGCTGTGAAAGAGCCCTTACAGTTTACATTTACTAGCGGCCCTCAGCGCCCAGGTGGTAAAAGTTGACTCTCAGAGATCTGCAAGATCTGGCGTGACCACCGCCGGGGTTTGCACGCCTGCTTCGCACCAAGTGTTTCAAAGTTTGCATGGCTTTGGCCTTGAAGTGAGCTCCTCCAAGGTTTTAGAGCCGGCTGAAGTTGAACCGAGCCACACCGGTGACAGCTTCGTCAGCGTGCGCAGCTAAAAGCTTGCTTCTTGCCTTGCGATAGGAATGACGAAGAAGTCCTTGCCAGGTAGATAGCTTTGATCCCGGCACGGGAGCGCTGGGACCCAAGCTGCTTGTAAACGATGCTTGCTGCAGGCATCGCGCGCACGGCAGGAGATTGATGGTCCCCACTCAGCCCCGAAGAGAGACACAACAAGCCCTGCCAATGTTTGCAAGGCATTGGTAGGCCAACTGTAGCAGTGCTTTTGGAGGTGGAGTTGCCACGCACTTTTTTGTGCTGTTGCATACCCCCTGCCTTCAGCTGCTCTGTAAACTTAATGCCTGCTCGGCGGCTGCTACTTTTTTGAATTCGTTTTCTGGCCTTGGCTACGCTTTTCAGCACATCTGCTGACGTGGACGTGATTCGCCTACATTCAACTGAGACCTGACATGGACAACAGCAAGCTCAATGCGAACTTGCGCAAGTTTGCCGTGATGCTTGACGCAGAAGGCGAAGGTTTGAAATTCTTGTGCATAATTTACTATGAAGAGGGCTAGTCCGTTGTTTGCCAGCAGCACCGGTGGCATATTTTCTCTGCAAGCACATCTTGCAGTGTAACCAGGGACCAGATGTGTGGAGCATTTGCTACAGATGTCTAATGGAGCTCCCAGGCACTCTCCCGGAAGACTTTCCTCGCCTGGCGAGGCCTTTTGCGGGAAAATTTGCTATTGGCATACTGTGGTTCCAACTTCAAATGTTGCTTCTTGTTCACTTTGAAGCAGGTTCATGTTGTGTTTTCCTTTTGTGGGAACTCGTGGGAACCAGGCTGATCATCCGAAGGCAAGCCAGATTGCTAGCCCCATCCTGAGAGGTGACACTCTGTGAGTCACACTTTGAAGCCTCCACATGGTACGTGGTGCTACAGGGCAAAGGGAATGCTGACAGTCATTTTTTTTGTAGTGTTTTTGGGCGCAACCTTCAGCAGTGTGGCGTGACTACCCAGGCTACGCAGGGGGTGAAGGTTTCCAGATGCTTCTCCGAAGACACGGAGGAGGAAATTCCTGGGAAGAGCCCGCTGGGCCCGCTGCCTGGACCCCCCCCCCTCATCGCTGATCTCACGAAGTGCTCCAGGTGTGTTGCATCATTGAAGACAATTGAAGACTGGGCAACCGAGGCTCGCGCAGGTTGACGGAGCCCGTCCTGGCGGACGAGCGTTTTCAGCACATACAGGGCTCCGGCCATGGCATCTGTTCAAGCCGGGAGCTTTCTTCAGTAATAGTATTCAGGGTCAGAAGTCAGAAGTGAATGTTACAGTGTTGCTTGACCAAGCTTGAGGCCAAGAGCTCCAGGCCAAGCTCTGGAGGAGCTGGCAGGAAAAGGCTGGTTGCACATTCAAAAGCAAGCTTTCCATTTCTACCGTCTGTGCTAGGTTCAGTCTTTAGCGGGACCACTCCGCGGAAAGGAGGTGGCGTGCTTGATGTGGATCCCTGTGTGTGAAGCCAAACCTCTTGAACTTGCGCAGCAACGCATGCGCGAGAAACGCCTTGGTTGAAATGTTGCATTGATGAAACGTGTTGCTATCATTATTTGGGAAGTTGAGACATCAGTGGTGACCACTTCATGGCTTGCAAGTTAGATCTTCCATGGTATTCACTGGTCTAGGATGTGCCTGATGTGCTCACCAGCAGGGGGCTTAGCCGAACTGCGGGGATAAGCAGCAAGTCGGGCCTGAAATCCCGCAATCCTGTCAGGCTCCCAGTCAGCACCTGCTATCGTGACAACCGCGCTGCAGGCTGTTTGTGTTACAGCGAGATTGCGCTGAATATTATTCACGTGAAATTGCAATAATTGGTTGTCCTATGCAAGCAAGTCATGATTGCCAGCTTGCGAGGTGCCGACTGATCTCATTGGCTCGTGTGTTCTTAGCCCAGCATATCCTTTTGAGATGTGGTGTGGTTCATCAACCTGTTCAGCAGCAACTTCTTGCAAGAATTCACAAATCCACCGCATGCCAAGGACATGCAGCTGGACACGTTTCGAATCGAGGAGGACCTTCTGCAGATGAGTTTCAGCTCAGTGGATGACGCTGCCTCCAGTGCTGCCGTCTGGGCCCGAAACAGGAACCGGAGCACATGGTGAACGAAGCCCCTGGCGCGGACAGCGCGCAGACACGTGCAGTCGTTGCCGAAGAGAGCTGCAGTGCTTTGGCGGAAGCCCTTCAAACGGCTGTGCAGGAGGCTTTTCGCATGTGCTCCGTTTTGTTTTTTCGTGGTGCAGTTTTTGACAGCTTTTGGAGGCGCTTTACAAGTCTGGAGATGGCTGCGTGCCGGAAGCACGGGCCCCGTTTTTTTTACCGATAGGTGTGGCTCCATCTCAGCAATTCTCAGCAAACTAGGATTGGCAGGGCATGTGAGGGCTCGCCTGAGGCGGTGCGAAACATCACCAGCATTGAGGCAGACTGGCAGCGAAGAGACAATGCCTGCTACCCAGCTCAGCTTCGCGATGAGCTCCGCTCGTCATGCGCTGCTAGAGGTGCTGTTCATACTAGACTGGGACGATGCTGCCTCAGTTACTTTTTGGGGATGTCAGGTGAATGCGCAAGATTTCGCTGCAAAGATGCACGCTGCCAAGCAGGACACCATCTTCCCAACGACGTGGCTCACGGCGAAGCCCTGGTATCGGACATGGATCCGGGACAAGGCTCGCGGTACTTCGTGCAGTAGTGACCGTGAGAGGGAGGGAGAAGAAGTTTCAATGCCTTGAGGGCTCGCTGGAAAACGTCGAACTTGATCTGGAAACCGTGGCCGCACTTGATGCGCTGGATGCAGCGGTGCAGATCCAAGCAACTTGCGGCTCTGTTACGAGCTCCTTTTTTGCGTTCAACTGCTCACTCACTTGCGTGCTTGCAGGCTTACGAGTTTCTCGCTTGTGTCAGCAGCTGCGGCCTTACTGTATTGCGACCTCGTGACGCCGTTGGAGATGACATAACATCACTATGTCCAGGGGTTGCCACACCAGTCTGCATCACTTTATCCCAAAGACCATGGGTGGAGATGCGCGGTGCTTACAAAGGGATCACTTTGCAGGACTACGCATCTTGAATGCCTTACGCTACTGCGAGCTGCACAGAGTTAGGTCGATGAAGGCTTTCCTGCCCCGCTTGGCTCGATTCTGGGAGGCAAAACGCTTGCAGCCTCGTAGCTCATTCTGAGCGCCTCCAGCGTCTCCATTCGCAGGAAGTTGGAATCTCCGTGCATTATGCAGTCGAGGAATATGTTGCCACACCCACAAGGCCAGGCTGTTCAGCAAAAAGGCTTTCGTGAGGCTTTACTGCTTCCGCATCCAGCTGAGGCAAGGCTTCTGGTGCCAGAAGCCGAGTGGGGCTGGCGGTCTGGAAGGCACCGTCCGTGCCCCGGGACCCCAGGGCATCTTAGGGCCAACGCCTGTGTGGAATGTGGAGCATGTGGAGCCAAGGTGCTAGAGCTTCACATGCGCTCCAATCGCAAGCGCAAGGCTCGGGCTGAGGTGTAGAGCTTACATCCCAGTGGAGCATAATGCCACGGTAGGTTATGGAGCGTGTCTTGCGGCGGTTTTACCGGAAAAACAACAACTGTCCACCACTCAGTTTTGACGTCTTTCAGCATTCCGGATGACCATCTTCGTCAGCAATTGAGGTTGGTTGCATGCCGTCAGCATTGGCGATGGCTTGGCGGAAAGGGATGCTCTGCAGGAAGCGATGATGCAATGGTTGTTTTTGCAAGCGAGATTCTTGTGCTTCAGGAGATTTCAATGTGCCACCAAAACCCTCGAAACCCAGAGCCTGCTCCTTAGAAATGGCAGCAGAGCATGAAGTTTGTGAGGGGACTTGAGTTTGTAGGTTTTATCCTGAAGCAGGTCTGGTTCTAGCAGCAGATTTTGTGTCAGACCGCCATGTTGACTGTACCACGGCGTTGTGGACGCATTATGCTGGCGATGTGGCCAGGTGAAGACCATCCAAATGCTTGAAGACCCCAGCTGTGATCATCTCCAGACCCAATTGGAGGCCGGAATTCCGTTTCTGTGCAAGGCATGTGCTTTTGATATCAACTTTGTCCTGAGGTCCTCAAGACATGGACACAAGTTGTTATGCACAGCGATGAGGAGAGCTGTCAAACAAAGCCTGAGTCTTCAATCACCTGAATTTTGCAGGACTTGGACGTGGTCCTTGGCTTTTAGGGAGATTGGCGTTCGGCCCAATTATGCCACAGCCTATGTAAAGTCCCTTTTCAGGCTGTCTGGCTGTGTCCCACTAGATGGATTTAGCAACCGCGTCCAGCGTCTGCGTAGCGCCGGCGTTCTTGTGTTTGAATTTTCAGTGTACCTTGGAATGAACATGGCCGGATCATTGATCCCTCACCGGATCTCTGACCGCTTGTTGTCTCACAGCTCTCAGTATTTTCCTTGGATTTCGAGAGTCGCACCTAGGGGTGTGCCTTGAGGCTGACACACGACATGATGAAGTTCGGGAGTCCATTTCACAGAATCTACAGAAGAGCTCCCCCAACAACGTGTGGCAGTGCATGGATGGACCTGAGAGTACATAAACTCGGCACCGCACAGGCGATTGCTGAGCTCGTTTATCGTCGAACGCTGACAGCAGTGAATCTTCGCAGAAGTTCCTGCGCCAATGGTTAATGGTCGGCGCTACTCGGGTTCATGTGCTAGCACACATTTGTTTCGTAAGCAAGCTGGTCTTCAAACAGAAGAGATACAATGTTGTGCTTATACATGAACTGGAGCCACTTGGCGTTTTGCAACTCGCGCTGCAGGCCATCAAGCTTAGATTGGAGCTTCGAGGTTCATTTTCCATGGCGCTGCTCCGTGTAAGCTTCGAGTTGCGTACAATCAGTCGGCGTGTTGGTCTTCACATGATAATTTAAGTGGGGCGTGAATCAAACCCGGAAGTCTGAAGAGGCGGCAGTGTTACTGACCAACATGCTAGCTCACAGATAACGTTCAACGCTTGTCTCCGTGAAGACGGGGAACCCTGAGTCTGTCAGGGCCTCTTGGCCAGCAGACTGGAGTGTCCGTGTGAAAAGCCTTTTGCCTTCAACTTGCCTTCCTGAGTAAGCTGTGCAGCTGGGCGTTGCTAACGTATGGGGCAGGTGAAGCAAGAAGATGAAGCCGAGGCTGGTCCCCTCAGGCAAGCTGTTTGTAACTTCCTGTGATTTCATCCAGGTCCCCTGGGAAGAGGAGCAACAACGTTTTATGCCATCTGTATGCTTTCGAAATGGACAGATGATCCGGTGCCCTGATGGTGATTCGGCATGGGCCCGCCGTTGTTCCTTTTGCAACAGCAGGTACCGGGGACGTCGCTTCATCGAGGAATTCCGGAGCATGCTGAGCAATTCCGGCGGGGTGATTCGCCTGGTGTGCGGAAGTTCTCTCTCTCTCTCTCTCTCTCTCTCTCTCTCTCTTGTGCTCGCTTGTGATGAACACTGAGGTCTTCATGTACCTGGAGCTGGAGGTGCCCCGCAAGCCTCGCCCTTCGCCAGATGAGGCCTAATCTACTCTTGGCCTGCAGGAGAAACCTCCTGCAGATCCAAAGAAGCCCAACCCACCAGAGACGGCGGAGTTGACGAGGCCAGGAAAGCAAAGAGGCCAACAGAGCTCTGAAGCTTCCGAGATTCCAGGCAGTGCTCGGGCAGTGCCTGGATCGACCTCCGGAGCCTGATTGCTCCTGGATCCTGCCGAGTGGAGACGGTCTGTACCCTCGCGGAGCTTGCTTGCTTTGGGAAATCATGCTCCTCGTGCAGTTGTCCGTGTGCAGTTGCCCGTTCTTGCCAGGAGGGGTCAGACTTGCTCCAAGGTGCCCACCTGAACTCTTCCACAGTACTGGGCGAAGTTGATGTGCCTTCAGGTGCCGGAACCTTTTTGCGTTTGTCGGTGGAGCTGAGCTTTGATGTGACACCAGCAGAGGGTGAGGACATGAAGGCACATCCTGGTTGTTACACAGCGATTTGGGTAGTGTTTGCAGAGTGCCAGGTTCATCCTAGCAGTCTCCTTCCTCAGCGAAGTGGTCCTAGCAAATTTTCAGCATCGGATGGTGCTGCTACATCCTTCCTCGAGGCGATGATGTCTCACTCATCCTGCAAGCGTTTGCCGTCCGTAATCTAGCAGGCTGTGGAGCGTGGCTGCGAGGCCCGTGCACAATTTCTCTGTGGTGTTCAAATGGTGCTGATACTTTGTTGCCAGACCATCTTTAGAGACTGCTCAAAGATTTCCAGCGTGCGCGATCCTTGGCATTCACAGACTGCTGCATGGCAAGTCTTGATGTGCTGGATGCTTGATTCCAGGGAAGAAGCCGTGACGCAGCTAAAGGAGGCCCGTAGCTCAGGTCTGTCTACAGACCCGCTGCAACACCGAGTGGGTTTTTGCCAAAAAGACCAAGGATAGCTGCAGGGATTTCTGTCTGTCGCTTTCTTGGGGCGCCAGCAATAGCAGAGCTGTGGGAGACGAAGGTCAACAGCTATGAGGATGTGAAGCAGGGCCTGCGCGAGTCGATTGCCAACGCCTCAGTGTTGTGGAGTACGGCTGCAGCGTTGCTGTGGCCCACCATGGCTTGATGCAGCCTTGACTGAATGCCAAGATTCGTGTTTTCCGCGAGCGCTTGCGCAAGGTGGGACAGTTGCAAGTTTGCAATGTGAAAAATTTTGGGAGCATGCTACGATTGGGCAGGAGACCTCGGCGATTCCCGGCAGGCCGTTGCGGGGTAAAGCGCGAGAAGACTTCATCTCCAACGCGCCGGGGCCTCGTGAGTTGTTTCTTGGCGCCGCCAATTCATCTGACTGGAAGGTATTCCTATTTGCAGCTGACCACGGCAGAAGTTCTGGCTAAACTACATCCTTCGTGTCTTGGCGGAACTAGAAGGCAGCGCTTGTCATGGATCCCAGCCTGCCCGGTGAAAGGCCCGACGCAACAGATGAGGTCACCTGCTTAGCTAGTCTTTGACCTGCTTGTGGTTGGCGGGGATTCTGGATTTCAAACGCACTGAGACCAACCCCACCTTTTTTGGACATGAGCGAGCAGCAAAATGCGCCTTACATCTTCAGGTCTCAGACGCGACCAAAGAAGGTGCTAGGTTGGGGCGACTGGCGTATGAGGCGCGACATGTCCATCATGTCCATGCCTGTCCTTGCATCATTGCTGTGCCCGCGGAGTCCGCGGCAAAGCCGCGCCAATTGTCCACAGGCGGAGCTGGTTGGCAACTGGGACCGTGCAGCGGAGCTCCTGCAGCCCCAAGCTCAGCTTTGATGAAGTCCTGCTGTCTTCGGGCTGAAAGAGGCCTGCCAGCTGAGGAACCGTTTCCTGCTTGCGCAGGACCTTCGCAGCGACCCCTCCGCTGCCGCCTTACTGGTTCTTTTCCCATAGCCACCGCTTTTTGCTTTGCCTGGCACATGCCTGGAAGTGAGGAGTGGGTGGCCTTTGCCAAGTTCTGCGCCAGAAGAAGGGGTCGACAAGCTGCTGCTGAAGAGGCTCTCTGTCAGGTGCGGGACCTTTGTCTGGAGCAACGAAGCAGAGCGCAGCTGCTCCGCAGCTTTCTCCATTGAGGCAGCGAAGCTCATGGGATCTGGCAAGGACGCGCCTCCCGAGCTTCAGCTTGAGGTGTGGCCCCATGTGCAAAGCAAGAGACTAAAGCTTACTATGCGATGGCTTGATGGCTTGTTTTGCTTTTTTCGTCTGCTGCTCTGCCTCAGCACAGGTGGAGCTCTTCCTGGCATGCCTTGTTTTGGTCGCTTGTCGGCACCGGCACAGCGCAGCACAGCGCAGCATAGCGCTGTTGGTTTGCAGAGCCTTTGCACAAATGGCCAGGAACGTGGCCGGTACGAAGAGGCAATCACGACTTTCCAGGCGAAAGTGGACAAGGCACAGCCGCAGCAGGTTGAGAGTAGCGAAAAGCAGCTCCATTGACTTTGCAGGACTTTGCGAACCCGATGTTTCGCTTTCTTCTGGGTCTTGCACTTTTTTTGCTTTTCGGCAGCACCAGCACTGTGTTCCAGGGACTCGTAGATGCTTGAGTCTGCTGACACCTCTCCCGAAATCAGAGTCTGGGTTTTGAGCGTCTCGGCAAGAGCAACAGCTATCACATGCTACAACAACAGCACGAGAGTTGAAACAGACTGAAAGATACAAGCCTCGTAAAGCTTGGGTCAAGCGGGAAGTCTTCTCAACTGTGTGCTTGTGATAGAGTGGTAGGGAAGTGGCCCAGACCCCCCTTCCCTTCCAGCCTGAAAAAAGGGGATTTGGGCCAGTTGTGGTCGCAGCACCCCTGTCGGAGCCGGGGATCCGCGCTATTTTTGGCCAGATGGCAATCTAAAACCCGCCCACGGCCCTCTTTCCCTAGAGGCCTGCCTGTAGACTTGTGCATCCTCTTGCGGGTCGATACAATGTTCGAGATGGTGTCGTGATTCTTGCACATTCATCTGCCCTTCCAAACTCCTGGCTCTACAGACAGGGAAGGTAACTCACTGGAAGCATATGTAAGCGAGGAATTCGCTGACTTGCCGTTTCAGGTAGATTGGGTAGTTCGCACGAACCGAAAGTTCGCCGAGGCGATGCAGATTCGATGAGTCCGCCGCACACTCTGCTCAGTGGGTCGCCTTTAGAGCGTTTCCTTCACCAAGGGGCCGAGCCTACCTCGAGTCAGCTGGCAAGCCCCGTGAATGGTTCAAGGCTACAGCATGCGACAGAAGTCACCTGGTGCCAACTCGTGTGGATGCAGGGCCTTCCAGATGAGGCGGCTGTCGTCGACAAGCTGAAGTGCACTTCTGAGCTACTTTTTGATGTTGCTTGAGCTGAGCCGGCTTGTTTGGAAGCAATCCACCACCAGGGCCTTTCGGAAAACGGACGGGCCACCCAACCTGCCTCAGCTGGCTGTCTCGCCCTCAACCTACGACTAATACTGCTTGCGGGGAGGACGAAAAGCGTGAGACCGCTAGGGCTTTCTGGACAAGCTTCTGAGCTTCGGGCTTCCTAGCCTGGTCTTCACCTTCCTTGACCAGACCAGCCTGCTGTCAGAGGACCCGTCGACTTCCAGCTGCTGGCCACAGTTAACGGGACGTCTAGTTCTGGCCAGGAGAGCTTGGCGAGTGAAAGCATGGTCTTGGTTGATGCCAAGGTGAAGAGAAGAGTACGTATCAACACATATCAGCACTTGCATCCGAAAAGCCAACCTGGCATGACACAAGGCACTGGCTTTGGACCGGGACCTAGCGGGCGCTGTCGCACGCCTGGGGCTTGAAAAAAGCATTTTGGTGCTGCGTCCACTGCACACCACCAGCCGTTGTGCCAGGTGTCGAGCCGCTGTTGTCCTCAGAAGCAACGTCCTACGAGGTCCCAAGCCATCTGGAGTGGCACACATGTGGCACTCTGGTGCTCTTGGATTTTCCAGGTCTGGAAGCTTGCCGGGGAGTGCTACGTACAACTCCAAGACTTCGACAAAGCGCTGCAGGCTGCCCCTGTTGCTGGGCAGGTTTCTGGTTTGCACTAGCATCGTCAGTTTCGAGAGGCCCTGCAGACTGCGCTTGCCTTCGATGACGGGGTAGAAGACCCCGTGCTGCATATTCGATTAGGCGCGTAACGGGGGGCAGATTCGGAATGGTTGTAATATGAGCAGTACGGTACTGTACCAATACCGTACATTTGCAGGGTCAGAGCGCCTCCCTAGCAAGTTGGCAGATATGTGAGTTTCTGAGTTCAGGCTCTGTGCTGCTCGTCAAAAAGCGCTGGAAGCAGGCTGTCATCGCAGCTTTTGCAGTTGGCGCAGGTTCCCTGACCATGCTGCTAGGCTCGAGATGCTTTCCTGCGATCAATCCACGCGACATCGACGGCAGAGGCCGATGTTGACATGCCGGTCAGACGAAAAAGTGGGCAAGCGGCATACGGCATCCGGGAACCCTGAGGCATGGAGTGGTGTGGCTTACGCAGAATTCCGTTCGGATGAGTTGTCCACTTGCTATGAGGCCACTCAGTTCCCTTCTAGGGTGGAAGCATCCCCTAGCCATGCGTAAAGAAAGTCGTTCGAAGCCTCCCAGGCGCTGTGCGAGGCAAATTTGCTCGACAACGAGCGGACTGATGTCTGGGCGCTACTTTGCTTGGTGCGCTTCAGTGCTTTGCTGTCTTTCAGTGCATGGGCAAGGAAAGGTCTGGGACGTTGATTGTAGCAACGGACTCCTTCAGCTGACGCCGGGTGTGTTTCGAGGGTCCCTCCGTGTCGCTTCCGCTAGGTACACCTGCGAAACGAGAATTGGGACGCTGCTGACCATGCTTGCAGGTCAGCGAAAGTTTTGTGCCTTCGTGAATTAATGTCACCTGCCGCCTCGAGCAGGCAATGTCTTAGCCTCCAGCCCGATTGCGAAGAGCTGCTCCTCGAGGCCAGTGGAATTTTTGAATGTTGCGACGGCAGGAGGGGCGCCGTCAAAGTCATTTATCATGAAGGGAAGTCAGGGCTGAGGAG